CCGTTAGGCGTGATGGAGCCCTGCTTTCCTGGAGATGGCTGAACACCTGCCTGCCGATGGGAAGGGGTGAATGAATTCCTTGTTTTGCTTTGCTTGCGTGCGTGGCTTTTGCTTTACCTATTAAACTGTCTTTATCTTAACCCACGAGTTTTCTCACTTTTACTCTTCCGATTCTCTCCCCCATCCCACCACGGGGGAGTGAGCGAGCAGCTGCCTGGTGCTTAGTTGCTGGCTGGAGTTAAACCACTACAACAGGTATCTGAAACTTCCCAGAATGGGAAGCCAATGCTAGGGCAGAACCGCCAGTGTTCCAGAGAAGAGCCAGGATTTTCAGTATAACAAGCTTGTAATTCAGACAAGGAATACTAAACCTAGCATATAAATAGTTTTGAAATGAGACTTGGCTACGTTTTATCATGCAAAAAGACAAGAGAAAACTGGGAAAATCAAACCCAAATATTGCTCACGATAGGAATTTCAGTGTGTGAATTTTTCAAAACTGCAGTTGTCAGACTTTCATCACTAGAGGGCACTAATATCCCAGCTGGATGCAAGCAATTTAAACTACTATGGTACTCAACAGATAAATCCAAGGGTAACATACTTTGCAAAGTCCAAATAAGATATATGTCCATGGTAAAATCCTGGTTTCATTTCCTTCCAGGAAGTCACATTCTTCACAAATCGGACCTGTAAAAGCAGACAGCAGAAAATGTTTCTGTACAGCTGGAACACATTGAGCTTTGCCATACATGGTGTTTTCTGGTTTGTAAGTAAAATCTTATAACGCACTAGGAAAAAAGTCTATTTTGAACATTACCAAAGAATTTGTGCCAGCTAAAAGAGACTTTTCTGCAAGCATACAGATGACTCATTTTAGATCATCACAATTTAACGATCAGAAACTAAACAAAAGCAGAATACAGCAATCAGAAGGGCAATTCAAGGAAAGCTACCACAAAAACATTAGCAAGACAAACATTTAAATTTTTTGGTAGTCCATTTTATTTGTAATTTGAAAGGAATGCAGAATTCCCTCAGCAATAAGTAGAAATGCAAGTACACCTTTGATGGAATTGTCTGATCTGTATTTAGTCCCTCAAATAAGAGTGTACCAGATTCACAAGCATGTTCTTAGACCTATTTTACTGGGACATAAGAAACAAATCTGATGGTTCATTTGCTCCCCCACCCCAAAATACAATGCATGAATAATCCAGAAATTTCATAAATGTATACAGTGCAAATTAGAGCTATAGTTTACCATTTTGAACACTTACCTTAAGCCTAACATTTCAGTGAAACTTCCATGTTAAAGCATGAAGTAGCGCTTAAACAAGGGCTGATAAAGCAGTTATTGGCAAACTTCACAAAAATAGGAATAGCTTTACATTTCAAAGATAAAAAACAAAATAAGATACACGTCCCAAACCAGAAACTATGATCAAATTAAGTGGGACATGCAAATCCTGATATAGCTTGGCTTTTTTAGATGAACAGAGTATTTTAACATCAAAGCGCTTAACTCTGAAAGTTATTTCAAAACTAGTGAATTGGATAATAAAGATGATAAATTTGTACTGCCTGAGCTGTCTGACAATGATATGCCATTTCTGAAACTGAGAATTAGAAGATAGCATTCCCTGCACATCTACAATATCTTTTCTGTTATACAGTGACATAGATAACCACGAAGATACTGAGGTGAGACAAGAGAGTCAAACAAGGAAAGTTTGAGAGCTCAAGACAACACACTAACATTCTGTAAGGTCTAAGAGTGTCCTGAAACATGGTATTTATTATTTATTATAACCAACCAATTGAGGATTTTAAGAGGCAAGACTGGCCTGCTGCTGTTTCTTCAAATGTGCAAAACTCGCAGTCTAGGATTTAAGAGGTTGATAACCTTTACTTATTTCTTCAAACACAGGCTCTTGGACTTTCAGGTAAAAGAAATGGATATTACTTTTTAATAACAGGCAGCATTCATTTTTTCAGTGTACAAGTTTCACAGTCTGTAGCATTTCACAATTTAAACCATACATTGCACATGAAAACTGTGACAAATCTAGCTGAAAAGCACTGCACAATGTTATACAATGGCGTTTCATAAACTGCATTGGCTTTCTGTCTGGGTTTGTCCACAGCACAAACTGATTATATATCTATGAGACTTTGAATCCAGTGGAACTACTTTACTGCTACTGCTACAAGGTTAGCAAATGTGACGCCTACCTACAAGAAGGGCCAGAAGGAGGATCTGGGGAACTACAGGCCTGTCAGTCTGACCTCGGTGCCAGCGAAGGTTATGGAGCAGATCATCTTGAGTGCCATCACGTGGCACGTACAGGACAACCAGGTGATCAGGCCCAGCCAGCATGGGTTTATGAAAGGCAGGTCCTGCTTGACTAACCTGATCTGCTTCTATGACAAGGTCACCCGCCTAGTGGATGAGGGAAAGGCTGTGGATGTGGTCTACATAGACTTTAGTAAAGCCCTTGACACCGTTTCCCACAGCATTCTCCTGGAGAAACTGGCTGCTCATGGCTTGGATGGGCGTAC